GCTTCAGTGCCTGGCTGCCTGCCGCCATCTTGGCTGACAGTTAATTTGCATATACTCACTGATTAGCCAATGAAAAGGGTAGCGGTCATACGCTAATTACCATGTTTCTCTTTTATTAGTGTAGATATCTAGTTATATCTTCTAAGGTAGTGAATAAGAGTGATATCAAGAAAGGCAGCATGAAAAAAGAATGTGGACTCTGGACAGTCTTGGATTACAATCCTGACTCTACCACTTGGTAGCCGTGTGACCTTGGGAAAGTTATTTAACCTCTCTGTGCCCCAGTCTTTTTATCTGTAGAATAACCATTTATAGGGGTTGTTTTGAGGATTAGATGAGTTAGTACTTAGAAAGTGCTTGTAACAGTGCCTAGTATATATTAAATGCCCCACAAATTATTAATTATTATTACTTATCATGATTTCTTTCACTTTAGCACAGTGTGCTCCATGGACATACTGGGAGCAAATACTTGCACTGCATATATCTGGCAAAGGACTCCAATCAAGAGTATATAAAGAACTCCTGAATATTAGTAATTTTTAAAAACCCAATTAGAAACAATTGATATTGGAATGGTCGATAAGCATATGAAAGGGGGATTGATATAAATAGTAATCAGTAATCAGAGAAACAAAAAAAATGAGATAGTACTACACAGCCATCAGAATGGCTAAAAGGAAAGGTGGAGGATGCAGAGCAACTGGAACAGTCATACTTTGCTGCTGAGAATGCACAATAGTGCAACCACTTAGGGAAATACTGTTTAACAATTTCTAACTGAGTTAAATGTATGTCTACCTTATGACCCGGTGATTACACTTCTACCCATTTACCCAAGAGAAATGAAAGCCTTTATCTACTTGTATAGGAATGTTCAAAGGAGCTTAAAAACGGTAAATAACTCAATGTCTATCAGTTGTCATATGTTTACACAATGTACCAGGTATACGGATACAGGTAAAATAACATGAATAACTCAAAAACACTGTTTCACAGAGAAACCCAGACACAAAAGGGTATGTTCTGTATAATTCCATTTATATTCTGTTCAAAAACGCAAAGTCAATCTATGGTGAGAGAGGTCAGAATAGTGGTTACCTCTGGCAGGCAGGGAAGACAGTAGTAATGCCTTGAAAGGGTCACCAGGGAATTTTCTCGGGCTCTTAATAATATTCTCGATCTTCATCTGGGTGGTGGCCACATATGCAAAAAGTCATTCATCTGTATCTCTTAAGATTTGTGCACTTTACTGTATGAAAAATCATACCTTAATAAAGTATTGTTTAAAGGGGAGCACTATTAACTATCAATGGAAGAAATGAGAGGCAGTTAAAATCTCTAGAGCATCCTTCCGGGTGCAGGATGCCACACCACGTGCTGGAGAGAGCACAGTAGCACACTCCTTCGCTGCTCTCTTGTTGCTTTAAGTAAAATGCAGGAGCCAGGACACACACTCTTCCACGCAAGCCACTCCTCCGCGAGTTCCCTGCTGGGATTCTGGAGCCTGGGTCATCGTGCTGCGGGGAAGTCTGTATCCGGCGCTGTGCTCTGGGCTTTCCGACCAGGATCTCAATAAATCCTCTGACAACCCCGTGCGGTAAAACCAAACACACTTTGGGACGGGAAGCTGGGGACCAAAAAGCTCTTTTCCGAGGATGAGGGGAAACCCCCCCGTATCAATACATCCTGGTATTCCTCCATGTAGGACTTACTAGTAGGGGCGCTCTGCCCCTCACAGACACTCGGTAAATGTCTGTCAATGGACCAAGGTTTACCCAATTCCCACATGTCCAAACTAAGGGAAGAAAGTGTTTCATCTGCACCAGGAAACAACCCTGCCAAAGAGCTGACGCCACCAGAACCGGCGCATGCGCCCTGACTCGCTCTGCCCGGCTAAAGCACCCTCACTGCGTCTCACAGGGC